CTGGAGCACAAGCACATGTGGCCTAGCCACCAGTGCGAAGTCAAGTGGCGAAGGTGCGAGACGAGAAAGTGAGCCTGCTCTGATGTCTTCAAATTTTCATTTCCACCCTGCAAACCACAGAAAAAATAAGCCAACTAATTTTCACTGGAAGTATGAACTTTGGCAGCTCGGATATCTCAGGAAAATTGTAAATCTTTTTCACAAAAACAGGCAGGCACGATATCTGTTGTTGATAAAGTTTTGCCGAAGAAAATCCGTCAAAGTTTATGTCTACTAAGGACACACACTTGATTCCAAGTGATCTTGCTTTGGCAGTCTGGCCTTTGACGATGCTGGTAAATGGGCAAACGCCTTTGTTTTGTTCCGTTTCCCACTTGCAATCATGTACATTTGTAATATTTAACTCATATGCAGTCGGCAACACGACAAGTAGGTTTTGACCCATTAACATACTTTCAACTGCTATTTCCTACTCCCTCTTCAGTTTAAATTTTAACCAGAAATAGACTGCAAATTTGTTAAAACATCAGTAATATGTGCATTCCTCTGACTCCAAATGTGGACAACTTTTTTTTTTATTATTGTGAGAGTGTGTGGTAAATTACCGACTCCATGGGGATCTAATCGTTCCTCATGAAACATAATAGATTGAAAGTTTTCTTGCCTTTCCTGCTTTTTGACCAATGGTATTTCACTTTGCTCAGGCAACGCAGAAATGAAAAAATCACAGAGATCAAGTCAGGCTCATTTTCTTGGAGCCTCTCCACCAGACTCCTTCCCACGGGATCCCTTTGCTCTCTGCTCGTGCACGTGACTCAAAGGTGAGCCTGCTCGCAGGTTATCCCTCCCTCATAAACAAGGGTAGCCCAGACACAGCTAGACTATTTTGACACAAAAGCTGTTACTTTTTTATAGCTAACTTTGTTTTGAACATAAAACTTGTTGCTGCTGCAGTGAGTGAGCCTGAAGTGAATGAACAAGGCAGCAGATCTAATTGGTATATATAGGGCATTCAATCACTGTTCACGAAAAAACGCAAGGAATTGTGGTTGGCGGTAAGATCAAAGATGCAAGGAATTGTGGCTATGCACAAATGGAAGAATTAAGATGCGCTGTTTTCCATGTGCTATCTTCAATCAATGAAAGCAAGGACGAAAGCTATCAGGAACACCAGGAGCATCAGTCCATAATATCCGACACAACACTCTTGTGGAGTCGCAACTAATGCTAACAGAAGTAATCAAAATTTTGATGAATAACTAGGCATCTGTTTTATAGTTTGAAGTTTGAGTTCCCTATAATCATCAAGTGTTAAAATTAATATTACTTAAAAAAATCCCAGATTTACCAGTACTGTTTATATTTTTTATCTGGACAACTTAACTCAACATTTTGGATATCACATGGGTGAAGAATATTCTTCATTCAAATCCCTCGCAAAAATTACGGCTTGTTGCTATTAACAATCTCAAACTGGAAGTCATGTGGCCGTGACCTAAAACCTTCTGGAATGTTGTATTTTTCATGTAATATTCGAATTTAGAAACCTTGCAACAATGCTATTTAATTCTTTTGAGAAGTTTCTGGAAACTCCAGGTGTACTTGTATAAGGGCATGAATTTTGTCTGCCAGAGAGCAATGAAAATTAAATGAAATAGCTTAGTGCAACATGTAGCTGAGTGCTGTAATCTGAGAAGTTAAATAAACCAAATTGTTACTGTTACCGACAATCCTGAGTTCTGTATGGGAACAACCCTGCTCTGCATTGACACTCCTTACATCCTCCTTCCTTTAACAGCATTTTGTACCATTTAGGTAAACTGGTTACAGCTTAAAAGGCTGCTTTAATAGCTATTGTAATCACTTACCTGCCAATCATAGTTTCCATGTTGATATTATCATGTCCTGTCTTGAAAATCTAGGCTCCTTTCAGTTTGATGTGTTTCATTCTGTTGGAACAAACAGTGTACATGTATGAGATGACTCTTTAAGCAACCACATTACACACATTCTTTCTACATTTTTTTAAAAATTTCTCTCAAGTGAAAGTAACTTTTAATAATTTTTTACCTGTGTATTGGGCCTCGAAAGCAATGGTCAGCCTGAAAGTACCAGTAATGGCTCACCCAAAAGTAGCCACCCTTTGAAAAAGTCATTAAAGGGAAACTCTCCGATTTCAAGCACAATGTGAATGGAACAGTCTGACTGCAGGTCTGAACAACTTGAAGAGTTCTTTGTGATTTTATTTCGAACTAACTGAATCTTTCTCGATTAAACCATGATTTGTAAGCTGTATTTCTGTGGCAGCAGAGTCAAATGATACAGTGTTACATTACTTACATTGCGATATGACGCAACCATTATACCTTTGCATATCGGTACCAACATTTGAAGCCTTTTCTTACAGTCTGCTTTGTTTATGTGGGTGGTTAGTGACATACCGGTACATAGACAGAACTTTAAATTAATGTTATGCATTGGCTTTGTCTGAAACAATAATGTGAATTACCATTCAAACGTTTTTCAACCATCTGAAAGTAATGGTTACTTGAACATAGCAGCCCCTTTTGCCTACTAAATCTGAAAGTTATTAATAATCAGTCTTGTTCTGCATGCTCGTTTAATTTGAAATTACTCACCCCATTACACCCTGGATTATTGTGCTCCACTTAGTCCAATTACATATGGGTTATTGACCAAGTGTGAGGTCAAGATGGCTAGATATTAGCCAATTTCCTTTTTCGCATGTTTATGGACAAAAACAAAGTCAAGGTCCATAAACATGCAGAACAAGAACAAACCCAATATTCAGCCACCTTGACTGAACAAGCTAGCTTGGTCAACAGAGGGATTATTATAATTTTTCTTGTGGAACACAGCTCATAAACCCCAAGTGGCAAAATAGCACTAACTTGCCTGCTGGGTTGGCCAATCACAGTGCAGGATTTGGTTAATCTTGCTTGCTCTGGGCACTAGCCATGTATTATTACTAATATAATGTAGTGCTAATACCTTGGGGGGTGGATGCTCCCAGAAAAATTAGGTGGGGGTGGGCAGCCCACTTCCCAAAATCACTACCCTTTTCAAGACCAAAATCTTTGTTAAATTTATGTTTGCCACAAATTTCAGGGTGGTCCATTTAGGTTAGTCCATGGGTGGTCCATTCAAATAGTCCATGGACCAGGTCCATTGGGGTAGTCCATGGACTAGGGGTCAGCAAAATATACCGAACCGATTTTCCCTACCCTATTTATGATCTGACCAAAACTTTGATGCCCTATTTATGACTGTTGCAGCTGGAATAACTGCCCTAAACAAAATTTATGAAGCGATTTGTTGATGGCTTTATTGATAATGATGAAAAAGTAGCTTCTTCTATGAAGCATACCAAATTCAAGACCAGAGTGCAAAAACCATACCCTATTTATGACCAAAATGTCCAAAATGTCCAAAATGGCCAAAATGGATACCTATTTCTGACCAAAACAACTGAAAAACCATACCATTTGAAGCTGCACATACCTATATAGCCCTTAAAGGAGAGTACTTCCCCCCGCTGGCGGCTAAAACTGGACCTGCATAATAATTTCAGGGATTTGCATTGATTTGATTAGATGGATAACATCAACAATTTACAGGGAGTTTCTTTAAGTCTTCTTGTGAAAACCAG